ACCGCTACCTTGCTGACACACAGCACTTGCATTGGTAGCGCCCAAAGCAGGGCAGCAGCCTTATCCCCCTTTTACAGATGGGGAGGGCCACGAGGGGGTGAAGTGACACACCCAAGGTCACCTCGCAGCTTGTGGCAGAGCTGGAAAAGAGAACTCTGCTCTCTTGAGTGCCAGTCCGGTGGTCTATCCACTAGGCCACACTTCCTCCCAGGGAGCCCAGCAGAGTGCTGGCGGGGCGGGGCTAAGGCTGGCCATGGCTTCCCGTTTCAAGGGTGTTGTCCCGGTAACTGGGCACCGGGGCCGTGGGCATTGAACTGAGCAGCACAGGCGCGTGTTTGAGCCCTGGCCTTAGCCGCTCCGAGAGCCCGGGACGGGCACCAGGGCTCTGCCTGCACTCGGCCCCAGGCGGGAAGGCTGGCTAGGAGCACAGAGCGTCCCGTGGGCCTGCGGCTCTGCCCACCGCTCAGCAGTGGAGTCAAGCAATCCGCATGGCTCAAGGGACAGGACGGACAGACGGACAGACGGCACTAAGCAGTCGGGGGAGAGAAACCGTTTCCTGCCTATTGGGCTCAGGCTGCGATGTGCTGCCCCTGCAGAGCGGCTCAGGACACCTCCCCCGGCTCAGGGCCCGTGGAGGGGGAGGGAGGGGAGGCAGGGGAATGGGGGAGGGAGCATGAGGCGGAAGGGGAGGCCTGGGGAGTGGGGCAGCAGGGCGTGGCCCTGGGATTGGGGCCGTGGGGCGGAGGAGCTGCTCCCTCGGGTACCATCCAGCAATAACGCCTCTCTCTCTCCAGCTGGCCCGGCCTGCGGAGACGTTGCCCAGGCTGCAGCCAGGGCTGGGTCCGCTGCGCCTCAGCCTGGCCCTGCCATCCCCATGAAGCTGAGGACACGGCTCCCCCGGGGCAAAGGCACCGCTTCTCCCTCCAGCTCGCCGGCCAGGGCCCGTCTCTGATGCGGGCCATGTCGCTAGCCGCCCACCCCGCCGAGCTGGGGTTTGAATTTGCCAGCAGCAGCTTGGAGGAGATATCCCAGGTAGGGCCCAGGGCGGCCACCTGCGTCCCACCCCCATTCCGGCCCTGCCCACGGTGTCTGTCTGGGAGCAGGCGGGGGGGGTGGGATGGGGGGGGGGGGGCAGTCGGAGATCAGTGAGCGTGAGTCTGCAGGAAGGCAGGCGAGGACGTTGCAAGGTCAGGCAAGAGAGGGTGGGTTGCCAGATGGGCTCCCAAAAAATACCGAACACACAGCCAAGCAAAAAGAAAACCCCACCCACCCGGAACACACACCCTGTGTGGCTGCTCCCAAGAGCCACCGAGCGGGGAACAAAGGGGGAGGCAGCAGAGCAGAGAGGCAGACCCCAGGGCAGCACAATGGCAAGGCTGGGGGGGGACCATGGATAGGAAGGCGACTCCCCCATAGCCAGGTCTTTGGGTGTCCCGGTGGGAAGAAGCAGAAATTCCACCCCAGTCCGTTTTGGCTGAGAGCCCATGGAAGGCGCCTAAACGCAACCCCAAAGCACCTGCGGGCGTCTCTCCTGGCCTATGGCTCTGCAACGTGCTTGAGTAGCGCCCAGGAGCAGGGACAGGGCTTCTGCTCCTCCCCAAGGCATCACTCCTCGCACACGCAATCAGCTGAGGGCTCCCTGCGCCGATCGCGCCCCGCCTCCCAGCCACTCCCCCATCCCTGCCAGGCTTCTGTCTGGCGCCCAGCCGGAAAAACAAAATACCGGACATTGCATGTGTCCGGTATTTTCTGGATTTTTTTACCAGCAGAGGGCGCAAAAACCGGATTGTCCGGTAGAAAACCAGACACCAGGGACCTTCCTCCCAGTGGGAGGGCTGGTGAGGAACTGGGCAAGAGCAGGGACTCCCAAAGGAATTTGGACTATGCCAACACCCGCTCTGCTCACGTCCCAGAGAGGACGTGATGTCGGACGGAGCGTTTCACATCCAGGCTGGCGCCAGGCCGCCAGCGCCACGCACACACATTGCCAGGTGTGCAGAAACAGCGGACTTGTAAGGGAGATGAATCCCAGTTACAAATGTTAACCAGTAACTGCTTAAACCTGCATCATTTAACCAGTTACCCGTTAAACAAGGTTGTGCGGCTGGCACAGCAGGGGGTGGCCAGGGTGGGGGTCCCACCGGCCGTCACAGCCCACCCACTGCTGCTGAGGGCTGGGGTCCTGTCCTGCTGGGGCCAGCCGGTCCCCTGGGTTAATGGTTAAGGTCCAGTTAACAGTAAGACTAATGCCCACTGGTTAACCTTGCACATCCTGTTCCCTTCTGCATTGCCTTAGACTGTGAGGAGTCCGGCGCCGCTACTGCAGAGGTAGTGGACAGGCTACCTAGGGGGTCCTAGCGGGTGCAGATGCCGTAGTCACAGGGCTGTCACGTGGATGGGGCGCAAAGAGGCTTTCTGAGCCGAAACGTACAATCTGCCGCCCGCGTTTGGGTCAGGGTCCAGCAGACCAGGGTTCTGGGGCGCCACGCACGCGTGTGGGATCGCTGGCGCACAGCTGATGTCTCTGGTTCTCCTGGAAGCCCAAGCGCAGAGGGAAGCCGTGTGAGTCGGTAACTAAAAATAACGAGGAGTCCTGGAGAGCCCAAGCAGGGGGGTGTGTGGGCACAGCCCACTTCCTCCACTTAGCGGGAGGCTCGCTCGCTGGGGGGCCAAGCCATTGACGGAGAGGAGGCAAGAACTGGCCTGGTACCCTTGCGTAGGTAGACACGTTGACCTGCCAACACGCTGTCAGCGGCAGGGTGGGGGAGGGGAGTTCTTGGCTTGGTCCCCCTCCCGCTGGGGACAGAGCCACGCTTGTGTCTGAGGCACTGGGACCCACGTGGCTGGGTAGGTGCACACCACAGGGGCGAGGCAGGAAGCCGGGTCACCCTGTTCCAGCAAACCCCCAGCTGTGGCAGGAGGGGAGGGTGGGGGAAGGAAGCCAGGCTCTCCGGGAGGCTGACAGATGCCACAGGGCTGGAGCCAAGGGGCCCCGGTGCAGACAGTCTCAGAGCCGGGGGGCAGGGACTTTGCATGCCCCCTCAGTGACTGCCTGCAGGATGCTGCGCAGGAGGGTGGCATGCGCCTGCCCCTCCCTTGCTCCCGCCAGTCGCTCTCAGCAATGGGGGCTGGGTGGCCAGTCTGCCTGCCAGGCCCTGGCTGAGCCCTGCCAACCCCTGGGCGGCTGCAGATGCAATTTTAGTAGCCACAAAGGGGTCTGGCGGTAAGAGCCCGCTGGGCAGCTCTGAGGACTGGCTTGCAGATCCTCCACCTGCCTGGGCGGGGAGAGTCTGTGGGGCAGGGACGGGGCGGGAGGCTCCTTGGGGTGCTGCACTGTAACTGCCCCCAGCTGCCCACCTGGCCTGGCTGCAGCTCCGAGCCACCCCCCTGGCTGGAGCTGGGTTGGGGAGAGCCGCACAGGCAGCTGTGGGGAGCTGGGTCCCTCTCCCTGCCCTCGGCAGGGGGCAGCGGCAGGGTGAGGGCAGGGGGCTCGCCCATTAGTCCCCAGGGGTGCTGTAACCCAGGGAGTTACAGCGGGAGGAGAGTGCCCAAGCACCACAGCAGCCCAGACTGTGTGTCTGGGCCAATCTCCAGCACGGGCACAGAGGCTAGGAGCTGTGGCACGGGGGCAGGGCGCTGCCTCTGTCCTTCCCCCCCGCCCCCCGTGGGAGTACCCAGCACGCGATAGCGGGAGTTGGGGCGACGGGCCCAGGCGCACGGTCATGGCCAGCAGGCTGAGGGAAGCGCGGGAGCTGGGAAACGTGCGTGCGAGAGGGTCCAGGCGGAGGCGGTGCGCTCGCGGCCCAGTGCAAACAGACGGCGTCTGCGCTGAGCCGCACGCCCCACCTCGCTGCAGTGGACAGATCTGGGTTGCGTGAGACCGAAGGCAGTGGGGGCTGGGCACAGAGACCGGTGCATACGCCGGGGGGTGGTCGGGTCGCACTGTCCCTGCCGCTGGCCGGGGGACCAGCGGGGAGTGGCCGCCCCGGGGGGGAGGGGCGGGGGGT